TTTAATGCACACATTTAAACTTAAATTTAAATAACTATTTGACATAATAATTAAGTTTTCCCTTTCCAGTGTGTATTAATGATTAACTCAGCGCATTACCTCTTTTCTATTAACTACCCTATCTCTGGTTATGACACTGGAAAAAACAAAAAATAAGATTTTTATAGCTTTTTCTTCCATAGTGTCTCTGCAAACCAGGTGCTAACATTTGGATCACATATCAAGGCTTCTTACTCTCAAGTAGACACTTTATTCTTCAATAGTCTCTTATTTCTTACTTCTCTTATTCCTGAGTCTGGTATCTGCTATCTAGTGACTCATTGGCACCTAGTGAAAGATACTGCAGGCTATGGACAAGTTTTTAATTTACTATAATTAATCAGTTTCTAAAACAAAATGACTCTTAAGTTGCACACCCTCATGGCCATCTTAGTATGCACACCAGATTTCAGGTGTCTAGATTCAGGCTGACAGCCACTTCACCTGATTGTCTTGATATGTAATCTATACTTAGGACAAGAGGCTGCAGTCAGAACTGAATACAGAGAAATAGTTCCCAAGCAGCAAAGCAAGGATGCATTTTATCACTCTATTTCTTCAACATATATGCAAAAATATCATATGCAGAGTAGGTGTAAGTCCAAAACACACTGCAAAAATAAGACCACTTTAACTGCCCTGGCTCAGTGCTAGGGAATCCTGGGAACTGTAGTATATTGTGGCACCACAACTCTGACAAAGAAGGCTAAATGTGTCACAAAACTACAGTTCCCATAATTCTCTAGCATTGAACCAGGGCAGTTAAAGCAGTCATAAACTGGATTATTTCTGCAGTGTGTTTTGGACCTTAGACTCAGAGGCAGGAGGAGTGAAGATAGGAGGAAGAAACATTAACAGTCTAAGAAAGCAGATGTCACCATACTACTAGCATCAAATAACAAAGACCTAGAACAGTTACTAAAGAAAGTCAAAGAAGAAAGTGCTAAGGAAGGCTTTGTTGTTGTGTGTGTTCAAGTCATTTCTGACTTATGGCAACCCTAAGAGAAACCTATCATATGGTTTTCTTGGCAAGTGTCTTTAGAGGGGGGTTGACATTGTCATCCTGTGAGGCTGAGAGAGTGTTACTTGCTCAAGGTCACCCAGTGGGTTTCTATGACCAAATGGGGATTCAAACCCTGGCCTCCAGAATTACAGTCCACCACTCAAGCCACTACACCAAGCTGGCTCTCTGGGTAGGCTTAATGCTGAATATTAAGAAAAAAAGTATGACTATGGACAAACTACATGAATTTATCGTAGATAACAATAAAGTGGAAATACTCAAAGAATTCCCATACCTTGAATCAAACATTGATCAGAATGGAGAACACAATCAAGAAATCAGATGCAGACTAGGACTAGGAAGGGTAGCTATGAAAGAACTGGAAAAGATCCCAAAGTGCAAAGACATAATACTGAATACTAAAGTTAGTATTGTTCAAGCCATTGTTTTCCCTATCACCATGTACAGTTGTAAGAACTGGACAGTAAAGAAGCAAATAGAAAGGAAAATTAATTCATTTGAGATGCAGTACTGGAGAAGAATGCTAAGGATATCATGGATGATCAAAAAGACAAACAAACGGGTTCTAGAACAGATCAAGCCCACTCTCTTCCTGGAAGCCAGGATGATTAAATTGAGGCTGTCATACTTTGAAGGACGTATGTGAAGGAGAGGTTCATTAGAAAAGGCAATAATGCTATGAAAAGTGGAAGGCAACAGAAACAGAGGAAAATTGCAAACCAGATGGCTAGGCTCAATCAGGGAGTCCATGGACCTGAGTCTGCAGGACCTGAGCAGAAAGGTAGAGAACAGGGGGTCATGGAGATGTCTCATCCAAGGGTCACCATGAGTTGAGGTCAACTCAAGGGCAGCTAGCAACAACAAGAACAACTATACATTGTTCACTATTTTAGAGCTGTACTTTTAACTTTCACATCTATGTGTAGCTGCCACATTTTTCTGGGTCTTTGCTCAGCCTGGATAGCAGGTGTTTTGCTTTCTAACTAATCTCTCACTTCCATTATCCACTCCAGTTAATTCCTCTGAGAGATGTTCTGTATATATGAAATCTTGACATAAGGATTACATTTAATTTTTTATTATTATTATTACCAACAGCCTTAGGCACCTTGGTAATAATTTGATTCTATCCCACTACCAGACTGTTAAATGCTGTGCAATGATTACACAGTAGAACACCATGAGAGCTGAAAATGAAAACCACATGTTCCAGATTTCTGCTTGCCAGTCATATGCCCTGACTTCAGGCAGAGTTTTTCCAGCTGTATCCAACACAGCAGTAAATGCAAAGCAAGGAAAGGCTGAAAAGAAGTCTGTGTGCCTGATAACAGCATGTTCCACTACTATCCTGGTTGGCTCTGCATATTCACCTTCTACAGGAATCCAAATGCGTGTGTATAGATCTAGTTGAAGATTTAAAACATTTGTGAGATTCCCCACCCACCCCCGACACACAGATCCATATACCTATCTCCCATGCAACTGGTAATTAGTTGAGCAAGAACCAATGAAGCTGACAATTATTTTAGTGAAACAATATAGGATCCTGTCTTACAATATTCAAAGGAGTGTTTTTTCTCCATCCCCCCACCCTTATAGGTTCTTCTGGTTAGGACACATGAGTGAATCCCCTCAGCAGCAGCTGCTCAGCTATGAAACTCCCTCCCAAGGCTTGGACCCCTTTCTCTTCTCTTTTCCTTTGCAGGCAAAGATCAAACAAGACTTTAGTTTTAACTCAATGGGGTATAACAATGTGCAGTCCGTGCTGTTTTTTTAAAAAATATGTAATATGTGATTCATCCAAGTGATTGATAAAGAAGTTGAATAGCACTCAGCCCAGTTATGCAGTCATGACTTGGTTGTTTTATTTCACATGCACATAATTTTAGTTTTGAAAGAAAATATTGCTGTAACATATTGAACTAATCTTTTTTGTGGTGCAGGAACCCCTCTCTATTCTTTCTATGTTAAATCTGCCTCTGCTACCAAATTGTCTGTTACAAAAGTAATGCCCAGGAGCACGTCTACTTACCCCCTAAGTAGATGGGCGGCCGTGGGCTGCCCTGGGAAGGTGCGCCGTGGGACCGAGGCATCCCCATGCCTCGATCTAGCGGCGCACCATCAGTGCCCCTGGAAAGGAGCACTAAAATAGTGTAAAAGGAGCGCTAACAGCATGTCCGGATGCTGCAGCGGGAGGTCCTCCTTGGAGCGCTGGCCGTGTGGAGGGCTGGCAGCTCCGAGGACGACCTCGGGAGGGGGAGGGGGCGCCAAGCGTGTGGCTGCCCCTCCCCTTCCTTGCACCGAAGACAGCTCTATTAGCCGTCTGCCGAGGCCCTTAGTTAATTGAGATATACCTGTACTGAATCAGACCTGTGGTTCATCTAAGTCTAGTACTGCCAACACTAGCTAGCACATTTTCTATCTGAAAATCCTTAGTCTTTCCTGGTGATTTATTATCCGAATATTAGCCTGGCCTGACCTCATTTAGCTTCTGGATTCACATGAGATCAGATGTATTCAGAGTAGTATGGTGAAACCCGCACATTGAAGAGACACAAGAATTTCAATTCATTTTATACAAGAATGTACTAAAATTCACAAACATTGATCATGAATTGGAAAGAATTTGAGAGTTTGAATAGGGAATATGGGAGAATCCCAAATTTACAGATTCCTCCATCCACACCAGGTTTTAACAAGTAAAAGAATGGGTCTGTATTCATATCCAAGCAGACAATAGTGCTAATTCCATAGTAATCTATAAAATTTATAGAAGCCTGAATAGCCTTAAAAATACAGAAATTCCCAAATAGAAGTGAAAGTAAAGATCATTGCACATGTCTGAGATTTCATTCTTATGTGATACTGGTTCTCAAATGGCTAATCTAGAAAATGTGGCTGGTATAATTGTATGCTCAGTTTATAACAATAAACATTTTAGCAGACCATATTTCTCAGTTAAGGGAAATAATTAAAATACATATACATCTGAAATAATGCAGCAAATAAGAAACAAGAAACTATGGCAGAGGTATCAGAAGGAGGGCCTTGGGTTCCTCCCCACTTTAACAATTAATTGTAAACAACAAACTAGGAGCTAATTTCTATGCATGCTGTCTTTTATTTCAGATGAGCAACAGCATGTACCATAGACAAGCAGCTCTAAGCCACAATGTTCCTTTATTTATTTATTTATTTATTTGAAGAAGAAAAAAGAATTTCCAAGAGACCAAATAGCTGAAGATATGGGAAATGGGCTGTACCTATTGCTATGTAATAACAAGGCTCTTAATTTATATTATGCCTAATTTATGCCTGCCTTATTAATGAGTAAAATACAAATTAGGCAATTGGTGGACACAGCAAAGAAGCATGACAAAATAATGAGAGTTGGAATGCTTTAGAATCAGGTGCTGATATAGCAGTAAACATGCTGCTTATTGGATGCAGAGTTTATACGGCCGAAGTGCAGTGAGTTAATTTTTTGTGCTCCATTATTTATGGTAAGAGAACATACTAATGAAATCTGTAGTGATGGAGTGTCCAAAAGCCAGGAGGAAGAGCTTGAAGGGAAGACCTGCTTCATTTATTTGGTAAATACAGTGATAGATGGTTCAGGAAATCTAACATCACTCTAGAGATGGATAACAATGGATTTGCCTGAGCCCTACGAACCACCAAGGTAATATGGTTAGAATGGAAACTACTGTATTTTTGGTGTGCTCTGTACACAAAGATGCTTGCTTCTATTGCCTCTTTGGTCACACCAACCCTTTCAATCCATCTGAGTCCACTTCACAAGAGGAGAGAGACTGTTGTTGTAGTATGACTTCAAGTTGTTTCCACCTTATAGTGACCCTTAGGTGAACCTATCATGCAGATTTTTGTGGCTGAAAGTGTATGACTTCCCCCCCCCCCATCACCCAGTGGGTTTCCATGTCCAAGTGGGGAATTGAACCCTGGTCTTCAGAATTGTATTCGAATGCTGACACCACTACACCACATTGGCTCACAGGGACACTGCACTGGAAGGTAAGTTTGAATTTCAGAGTACTTAACTCTGTTTTGGATCATGACCAATATGTCTATAGCTTCAGAATCAGTAATGTGTAATGTTGAAACATGCAGGGGTAGTTGTGATGGCCATTTAGCAAATTCAAACAAAAATCCACCAAACAGTGATACCACTGTTGGCCAACCAAAATGCATAATATACTTATTGCAGGCTTTCAAAGCTCCACTGGATTCTTCATCAGGCAAGATGTTACAAACCAAACAGCAGGAAAAAAATGGAGATGTTAGTCAGATGCCTATGTTTTGATGTTTCTGTCTTTAGTTTTTTAGATTGTAAGTGGAGGGTATCTTTTGTACACTGGCCCCTCCTCCTTCTGGCCATGTGGATATTGGGAGATTTGCAAAGACCAGGAAATTTAAAGTCCATTTGCATCTCAACAAGGACCCTGTTCTTGCAGTCCAATATGCCTCCATCCTTATGGGGCCACAGGCCTTTTTTTAGGCAGAGGACAATAGATTCCTCAAGGAGTTTTCATGTTTCTGCATCAGGAACATTTTGGTAGTTGTTGAGGTAAGACATGCCAATCCAGTTCAAATTTAAGAAGAAAAAAATTGTTTTACCTTGGTTGGAGGTCCCAATCCACTGGCTCACTCTTCAGTGTTGTGTAATGTTATTATTTTAAATAGAGATCTCTCAACACTTTTCTACTGAAATCTGTTATTCATGGGTTTTATTATACATGTTGGCTCAAGTTAAAAAGCTTAATACCATACTTAGAATTCTGTCTGTCAGATCCATATGCACGGTTCTGTCATAATGCTAAAATGATATGATGTAATGATGATATCATAAGATGATATGGTGATATCGCATTATGATAAGTAAGCATTTACTGAAAGAGAAATGGGAATTATGTGGGAAGCCAAGCTTGGGAAAGAATGGGAGGGACAAATGGCCAGAAGCAAGGGAGATCTGTGGTTTATGACCCTGTTGTTCTTGCAAGTGGATTGGGGCTGTAACCAGGGATGCTTTCCATCCTTAAGTGTGATTGAATGATCATGCAGGAAAGGAAAAAGGAGAAATTAAAAGTCACTTTGATCTGCATCAAAAGCTTGGGATCATAGCCAGGGAGGGGGGCTGGATGATGGGAACTCTTATGTATGATCCATGGAAAAACTTTTCAGTTCTGACACAAACTCTGGACAGAGGAACTTCAGTCTCAATTTCTAGAATAAAATCTTTTGTTTTAATCACACTAAGATGTTTTCTTGGTTATTGGGAACTGAGTTTTCTGATCCTGACAGTGTCTATCCATGGGTTTTCAGTAATTCTTATGTTTAAGAGTAGCTGGTGATGGTATGTTTCTTTCCCATTTAAAGCCCCAGAGATGTGGCATATTGTGCAATCCTGAGCATATTTGTGTGAATGTGCCTTCAAGTAACCTTAGGGTGATGATAGTAAATCCTATTATGTTCAGTAGAGATTATTCCCTAGTAAATGTGCTTCGAATTTAAATGTCTGACTCCCAAGGAATTTACATACAATAGTATAATACTTTGCACATGTCATTGCTTTTTCTCCTTTCCATCCACCCCCACATTCACTACAGTTATTTGGAAAAGGATTCCATCTAACATCATGCAAACAGACTTGAGTGTGAGCGACAGAACTTCTTCTCTTGCCTCCCTACTCCTCTCTATTTCTCCAAAATCTGCTTTAAAAATTTCCACAAATGAAGGGTGATGCAAAGGAGGAAACTATACCACCAGCTATGTCCATTCTGCTGCCAGACAGATACAATTGTATACAATCCAAAATAGATGTCTCAGGTTTTCTCAGTTCAACCAGAGAGAGAAAATTCATTTCAAATGCTGATTCCTCAGTGAATAGCAAGTCTTTAAGATCAAAGTCAGCAAACCAAGGCTATTAAGGATGGAGACAATGAAACCAATCCATTACAGGAGAGAAGTGATTAATATGTGATAAAAGAAATAAGGAGCTGTTTCAAAGCTCTCAGTAGTTTTGTAGGCTTAATGGTACAGTGTAATAGACCTTCATTTTCAGCAGCTTTGCTGCTAGGAAACTAGTAATTATAGAAAATGCTACAAAATCTGAGGCTTATTTTTGTCCATTGCTGTTATTGTCCAGCATCATATAATGTTCTGAACATTTCAGGGCTAAACTTTTAAAACTCTTGGAGGGAAATACAGTCAATATGTGGAATCAGAAGGTCTTTGTTATTGTGTCAGGTAGTAAACATGTTACAACACACACACAAAAACTTCCTCCAGATATTACTTTTTAAATTAAGAAATAATTTCCTAGTTATTGTTATGGATTCTCTATATCATTTCTAATTATCTGGAATATAATTACCTATCTTGTGAAAAAATACTTCAAATGCTTTGGGTCTAGAATCATAGAATCATAGAGTTGGAAGAGACCACAAGGGCCATCCAGTCCAACCCCCTGCCATGCAGGAACTCCCAATCAAAGCATCCCCAACAGATGACCATATAGCCTCTGCTTAAAGACCTCCAAGGAAGGAGACTCCACTACTTTCCTAGGGAGTGTGTTCCACTGTTGAACCGCCCTTACTGTCAGGAATTTCCCCCTAATGTTGAGGTGGAATCTCTTTTCCTGGAGCCTACATCCATTGTTTCGGGTCCTAGTCTCTGGAGCAGCAGAAAACAAGCTTGTTCCCTCCTCAATATGACATCCCTTCAAATATTTAAACACGGCTATCATATCACCTCTCAACCTTCTCTTCTCCAGGCTAAACATCCCCAGCTCCCTAAGTCGTTCCTCATAGGGCTTGGTTTCCAGACCCTTCACCATTTTAGTTGCCCTCCTTTGGACACGCTCCAGTTTCTCCACATCCTTTTTGAATTGTGGTGCCCAAAACTGGACACAGTATTCCAGGTGAGGCCTGACCAAAGCAGAATAGAGTGGCACTATTACTTCTCTTGATCTAGACACTATACTTCTATTGATGCAGCCTAAAATTGCATTAGAGACCAATGTTCACTTAAAATAATATGAAACTGGCAGGCTAGCATCCAATGGTTTCATTCTCCCTAGCACAAATAGCAAATAGGTACCTAGATCCAGACTGCGTGAAACAGGAGGATCCAATTGTACAAGTTGAATGACTGATCATGCAACACAAGAACAAATATGATGGCAATATCACTGGCTAGATGTCCATAATTCCTTCATTCAAAATTCTGTTCTTCAATTTTCCTTTTTTTTCAAAAAGGGTATGTGTTTACCTCACATAGAAGATGAGCAAGAAGTTTATCTGAGAAATTTTACTATAGGTATTTTATATACATTATGGCGATCACTTTTTTATATCTTCAGAATCTCTCTCTTTCTTATATCTCATATTTGTACTGTTAAGGGACTAAAGGACTCAAATGTCAATAGCTCTATGAGATTAGTGTAACTTAGAAAAAATTGTTTCAACTTGCTCTTGTGGGTAATGGTTATGGCTCTTTGACACCACTAACACTTTGGGTATCCTGTACACAAAGAATTTTTTATTTTGCTTTTTAATAAATTCTACGAATGTCAAAATCTTTTGACTTCATTTGAAAAAGTTTGCAAATGTTTTCTTCCAAATTATCATGGTTTTCAGTTAGAAGTTATGGATATACAAGCAACATTATTTAACTTCCCTCAAAATTCCTACAAATGTGATGCTTGGACAGCATCCTCCAAATTTACTTTCAATTGCAGTTAAGTGAAATTCTGTGGTGTGTTGAGTCTGAGATTGCTCTAACAGGGACTGCCTGTTAGAGCCTTGTGAACAAGGGAGCCCATACAAATTTAGCAGGAAAGGTCCTCAAAATTCCTTACCCTGGCCCTCAAATTTAAATTTTTGGTTTCATAATATGTTACAGAAAGAAGTGTAACAACAGTGTACTTCAAATAATTATTTTGATTTGCATAGTAAGACACTATGTTTTAACAATTCGAACACCAAATGAAAGCAAAATGAAGTTAATTTGCTTATTCTTAATAACTGCAGAAATATACTTACCATATCTTCTTGCATTTCTAAAAGATCACAAACCAGTCTTTCTGTGTTTTTTTTTTTTTTAGTTTGTTATACCCTTTTGGAAAGCAAATAGTGTTGTTGAAATGTTTAAAAAAGGTTGAGGATTTTACCAGGCCATTTTTGTATACATCACCAACCATTCTTCCAGCTGCACCATTTCCCCTAATTTTTTATATGAACAGACACACACACACACACAACTTAGTGAAATGCACCATGCCCTTCAATGACAACACATCTGAGAAATATTAAACCTGTTCCACATCAGAATTTTGGTGTCAGCCAGTGCAAAGGCTGAACATTAATTAAAGATAGAGAGGAGTACATTTTGTACATTCAGGCTCTGTTTTGAGTAATCTTTCAGCCAACACATTTATCTGAATATTCATAGTCACTCAGGATGCAAGATGACTCCATGAGCTCAATAGATAATTTTAACTGAAAACCAACATCTATCCTCACAAAAACTTTACTGCTTTTATACTATAGTATTCAAGGTAGAAGACATTCAGGAGTGGTTTACTATTTCCTACTTCCATGCAGTACTAACAAGAGTTAGTGAATGTGCCATGGCTGTTTTTTCTGAGAGTTTTTTTTATCAGTGTTGTCTCCCTTCAGCTACTGTTGTTGCCCCGTAAGTGGATGGCAGTAAGGAAAGAGGAAAACCACATATCAGCTGGATCAATTCAATAAATGAAGCCATAGCCTAAAGTTTGCAAGACCTGATCAGGAATATTGATGACCTGGGCTCATAAAGGTCTTGCATTCATATGGTTACCATACACTGAAGCATATAACAACAACAATCCAAGTGAGAAGCCCAAGTGGAGAATTGCCTTTTGCATTGCTAATTGGAGTGGAAGGCTCAATCTACCAATAAGCCAGAATTGTATATGGTCATTTTAAATAATGCTTTCACTAATCAACATTA